AACAAACGGAAATGACAAGTGATGGTAAGGACGCGGACCATTTGGGACCCTCCTTCCTTCCGGGTGGGAGTGGGAATGATACAGACATTGTGGAACACACATAAACAGTTCCCACAAATGTGAAACAGAAATTCTGACAGCAGTTCCACTCCTGGAATCTCTACTCAGAAGACTTGACGGCAGGGATGCAAGCAGAGGCACCTCCAGTAGGGTTCTCTCTCCGCAGCACCACTCACAAGAGCCAAAGATGGAAGCAACCCTGATGATGCCCAGCAACAGGCGAATGGATAAGCAAGATGCGCTGCATGCGCACCATGGCCTATCAGTCACAAAGAATGAGCTGCTGACGCATGCTCTGACATGGATGGAGTTTGAAAGGATCATGCTAAGTGGAGCAAGCCAGACAGCAAAGGATAAGCATTGTCTGATTCCACTTGTCTGACGTATCTAAAACAGGCAAGCGTAGAGAGACAGAAAGTAGAGTGGTTTCCCGCAAAAAACTCCAAGCTCACTTCCATTGAGTCAATTCTGGCCCATAGCGACCCTGTAGGGCAGGGTAGAACTGTTGCTGTGCGCTTCCAAGACTGCAACTCTTTACCAAGAGTAGAAAGCCTCATCCTTCTCCCAAGGAGCAGCTGTTAGTTTCAAACTACTCACCTTTGGGCTATAAATTCACCTGGTAAAACACTACACCAACAGGGCTCTTACCAGGGGTTAAACTCTAAAACCAAACTCATTGCCATTGAGCCAATTCTAACACATGGTGACCCTCTAGGACCAGGTCGAACTGCCCTTGGGTGTTTCTGAGACTGTAACTCTTCATGGGAGTAGAACATCCCATCCTTGTCCCATGGAGTGGCTGTAGTTTCGAATCGCTGACCTTGTGGATCACAGCCTAACTTGTAACCACTGTGATACCGAGGCTCCCTTACGGCGGAGGGAGGCATTAGGGCAAGGGAATCATGGAGAAGCATCGTTTAATGAAGGAACCTTAATGGTGCAGAGTTCCAAGTGCTCGGCTGCCAACTGAAAGGCCAGCAGTTCAAATCCACCAACAGCTCTACAGGAGAAAGATGTGGCAGTGTGCTCCTGTGAAGCCTTGGAAACCCTGCGGGTCAATTCTAGTTTGTCTGACAGCGTTGCTATGAGTCAGAGTTGACTCGATGGCACTGGGTTAATATTTAATGAATTAATAATAAATCGATTCATTAATAGTAGTGATGATTACATAACATTGAATATACTTAAGACCACTGGATGATCCCTTCAAAATAGTTAAAGTGGTAAATTTTGTTATATATAATTTTCGCAATAAAAGTACTATACACAAAACAAATTTAATCAAAGCAGTTCCTAGGTAAGTGCTTACTATGTGAAGATCATATTGTAACACTAACTCAATGATCCAAAATATAAATGGATGTTAATCAAATCCATGTTAAGTCCTGTTGATAGAATCTAGCCCATTTCCATGTTGGATCAATAGTGAGTAAAACTCCCATTATATATTTTTAAACACCGATAACTTCAAACACTTACAAGTACCGGGTGCTTTACAAGTACCGGGTGCTTTACAAGTACTATCTCATGACACCCCACTTGATCCCGGACGCAGGCATTATGCTCTCGATCCCACGCCACGGAGGAAGGAGTTGAGGAGCTCATTCTGATCATGGCGTTCCTCTGACAAAAACTCTTCAGGATAGAGCTCAGACTCCCCACTGCCCTTGTGGGGGGTGGGAGGCTGCACCTGCTCCTCTCCCCTCCTACTGTCCCCTCTGCCCCCTGCCACACTGACTACCATTCTACTAAGATGCTGTGTCCTGCACCCAGGTCTTTGCACAGGCTGATCCCACCTGACTTACTGCTGCTCCTCCTTCCAGCCCTCCTTTAAGACTGCTCCCCTGGAAAGCCTTCATCCTCAGCTCTGGGCCCCTTACACTCAAGATCCTCAGCATCTGTGCGGTAACCACCTGGCTACCTGGGCCATCAGGAGAACAATGTGGGTCATGCTCACCAGATCCCTGCCCCCCACCCCTGTACACACCAGAGGGTCGAGTACACACTATGGGCTTAATAGACCTTTACTGAACTTGCTATGAGTTCCCATCCAGTACTCAGAGATGGGAGATGACGAGTCTTTATTGCTTCTGAACAAATGACTTAGGTGGTGCCTGCTTTTATAAGATTGCTTTTGTTGTCCCCACAGAATTGGATTTGAATCCAGGCACCCTGGTGTGAAGTATAAGCTCTGACCCTGTAACTGGGCAGTTGGCATGAACCTAAAGTAGAGGTGGGGACATCTGGCCCTCGGGCCATATAAGGCCCTTAAAATCATCAATACCAGCAAAGATCACATATCTGACCAACAAGGAGCAGTTCCAGTGCCCCGAGCCATCACA